GTGTGTGTGTGTGTGTGTGTGTGTGTGTATATATATATATATATATATATATATATATATATATATAAATAAAAGAATAACATATATTTTACGAATACATATATATATATCTATATATATATTCGTAAATATATATTATTCTTTTATTTATTTATTTATTTATTTATATATATTTATATTTATATATAAATTTTTATATATATAAGTATATGTATATGTATATGTATGTGTACGTATATATATATATATTTATATATTTATATATATGTATATATATATATATATATCGGTATATTCGCTCCTGTCTTTTAACTATGCAAAGTAAAACCTATCGATTTGGATTTGACCTAGTATATTTTCGGGTGAAAACTCTTTGACTATATAACAATATATTTCCCTATCAATAAGTGGTTTTTCTTCTTGTTTTCACCACATACAGCGCGTGCCGAGATCCTTAAGATACACACCAAAGGCTGGAATCCTCCGCTAAGCAATGAGTATGTACCTTTGTCTGTACGTAGTTATTGAACGCTGTTGTGTACTTGTGATATACGACCACGCACGCACCCCAACACTCCCCTTTTGTTCTGTCCTCCATACACTCTCTGGCTTGGTACATGCATGTAGTTCCACACATATCGCGTATAAACAGTTGTATTCGAGTTTGAGACTTTATTTGCTATCAATACATATAACTCAATTTCTCCTCGTTCCAAATACTAATCGTATCTGTCCCGTATCTCATTAATTTTGTACTCTTCTGCTGAATATGCCTACTTGTCGTACTTGTCCTATTTGCTTAATTTTAGGACTCTTTTGAACCTGTTGTATTCCACTACTGAACAAGCCTCTTAATTGTACTTGTCCTATTTGTCTTAATTTTAGGACTCTTTTGAACCTGTTGTAGTCCACTACTAAACAAGCCTCTTAATTGTACTTGTCCTATTTGTTTAATTTTAGGACTCTTTTGAACCTGTTGTAGTCCACTACTGAACAAGCCTCTTAATTGTACTTGTCCTATTTGTTTTATTTTAGGACTCTTTTGAACCTGTTGTAATTGAACAAGCCTCTTAATTGTACTTGTCTTGTTTTTTTTTTTTAGGTACGCTTTTGCACCTGTTGTAGTCCACTACTGAACAAGCCTCTTAAATGTACCGGCCCTGTTTATTTATTTTAGGACTCTTTCGCACCTGGCCCAGTCTACTGCTGGGTACTGTGGTGCTGATCTGAAGGCTCTCGTCGCGTCCAGTGCCGTGCACTCTCTGAAATCCAAATACCCACAAGTACGTACCCTATGCACATGTAAACATTATGTATACACTTACATGGTCAATACCTACATAGTCAAGTACAAAATATCCTATGTATACTCCCATGAACAATACCCACAGGTCAATACTCAGCGCATACATAAACACCCCATATATATATATATATGCTCGCATGAACAATACCCACAGGTAAATACTCAACGCATTCATCAACACCCCATTTACATATATATAATAAACACCCTATATACACTCACATGAACGATACCTACATAGTCGAGTTCACATATATCCTATATATACTCGCATGTCCAATACCCACAAGTACATGCTCAACCGCATATGTGTATACACAAACACTCACCTGAATACCAACTGATATTCAATTGGGAGTATGTCATGTTCAGCCTGTGCTCGCAGTGTATGAAGCCCACATCCCCAAACCCTCCGATCACAGTTCGACAGTCGTTTTATATGAATGTACATTATATAATGTATGTATATAATATGGTCCATGTATATATTATGGCATCTGTATATGTATACAATATGGTGTATGTATATTATATGGTGTATGTATATAATATGGTACATGTATTTAATATGGTGTATGTATATCATATGGTATATGTATATTATATGGGGTATGTATATTAAATAGTGTATGTATATAATATGGTGTATGTATATTAAATGGTCCAAGTATATAATATGGTATTTGTATATAATATGGCATATGTATATACTATTTTATAGGTATCGGGACTATCAAGAGCTTCCCTCGACTCTTAACAAACTCCGTACTCCCTAATCCATAAACCTGTCTTCAATTCATTCGCACTCGCTCACTTCTTGTACCATCGGTTAACTCCATCTCTACAGATTTATCAAAGCAACTCTAAACTGCAGATCGATGTAAAATCGTTAAGTATTGACAAATCGTGCTTCAACAGAGCCATGAAAGACATCCAACCCTCGGCCAATCGCTCCAACGAGGCCCATGCCAGGTATATATATATATGTGTGTGTGTGTGTGTGAGTGTGTGTTTGTGTTTGTGTATGTGTGTTGCGTATATATATATATATATGTGTGTGTGTGTGTGTGTA